ACTTAAATGGCGTTTATCTCGAGAGCCGTGACAACAATTTAAATAATAAAAAAAGCAATTAAACAGTAATGACAGTGATTATTAACTTTTATAAAATTTAATAAAATGACGCCAATACCTTTCAGGAAGTAAAGAAAGTAAAATAGTTTGCTTAATAACACATCGCTTACTTTTATCAAATAAAAAACTGACAAAATAAAACTCAAACCACAGTCTAAATAAATTGGAAAAGTCATTGACTAAAACTGCAAACAGTTTTTACATTTATTGTTTTTGAGTGTTTTTTTGCTTTAAAACATAATAATTGAAGTTCAGTGTACAGGAAATAGTTCCTTTATCTAATGTCGTAACACCTATTTGGATGGTATAAGTTTTCACAAACATGTTTAATTCACATTATTTGTCTGTCAGGATCGTTTTCCTGACAGGAAATAATGTGAGACAAGATTGAAAAATAGCATAGAACAATTAAGGTAAATAAAGAAAAAAAATGTAATAAATCGAATAAGGAAAAGATAAGGAAAATTATAACGACAATAAGATAATGTCTCAATCTTTTATTGTTTAACAGTTGTATTTGTTTTTGTATATTTGGTTTCTTTTCAAAATACACTGTTTCTGATATGAATATAATTCATAACATCGGAATGGATTATTAACTAATAGTTTAATTTATGACTGGGTTGAATGTCGACAAACATCTTACTGGTGACTATTTCTAAGGTAATTACCAAAATCACTTATTGCAAAATAATGTTGTTTTTTGATAAACGTTCAATATCTGAAAACAAAGGTTTATTTCAATACCTTTAAGTGAAATATATTTTTTATTTTTACATCCTTATATACATAAGTCTTTAAAACATTTCTTCAAATCAAATGCTTTTTGGTGAAATATTGAAAAAAAAAAAATGATATATTGTCATACTTCTATAGATATAATTTAACATAATTCATTAACAAATATTCAATACTTCAACTATATAAGTAGTTGAGGGACAAGTGGTTTGAAGTTAACGACCTTAACCACTGAGCTACAGATGCACATAAAATAATCGTTAGAAATATATATAACTTTTTCTAAAGAAAACAAAATATTGCCTTTTTCAATTCCAAATACAAATAATTACATAAATTAACTAATTAATAAATAAATAAATGAATAAATAAACTCTGTATTATCGCTTTGAAAATGGTGATATAGTTTTTCCAAAATATATATTTTGTCATTTTATTTATAATGTCCTTTATGGCAAATTAATCGCTTTTCCAATTGGATTAAACGAAAAATTTATAAAACCAACGTTTTTAATTTTTGATAGAGTTGGATTTTCTGAGACCATTACCTTTAGAAATACACATTTAATTTTAAATGAAAAAAATTCTCATTTTAAGAGAAAAACTTATTGCTTGATTAACTTTCGGGTTCATTTATATTCCTGGAACTGTTTCAGAAAATATCACATATTTCAACGACTGTACAAACCAAAATTACACACGGTAATAGAATAATATTTTATTTCCCTTTTTAAGTTTGATAACTTTTATATGGATATTTAAAATAGTTTAATATGCATATTGTCAAAATTAATCTGATTTTAGAGATAAATCAAAAAGAGGTATTTCTAAGAAGAATCAGTAAGTTGGTTGTTATTTTAAAATAAAGTTCAGTGATTATTTGCATTCTGAAATAAAGGCAGCAGGGGTTCAGATTTATACAAATTTTCATGAAAATTTTGAAATTGTAATGTAATAAAAAGTTATACTATTGTGAAGCGAACAAAGAAAAGCAATTTACAAATGCAAACGGCACTAAGCAATGCAAAGATCACTAAACTGTCTAGTTCAGTAAATACAATTAGAATTTCATCACAACAAAAGAGCACATGTTTGTGATTAAATCTATTGTTATTCAATTAAATGTCAGATTAGGGATCTATCAATCTACGTAAATTAACAAAATGAGATCAAAATATGTAATAATAGCCCTTACTGCGTTAGAAAAGTAGTACAAATATGGTGGTTAATACTGCAAAATATGTCAAAAATCGCATATAAAATGAAAATTATTATTTTAATTGTAAATAATTTTTTTCACTTCTTTTAATGTATTTGTACATTTTTCGCAAGTTTGATTTTCTTGTAGAAGTGTTAGCTCATATGGAGGCATGCGGCTTAAAACAATACCTATTTGCTTAAACTGTATCAATATTTGATATTAAGGTGTAAATTCTTAACCAAGGTTCAGGAAAGTCGATCTCACGCTCGACATAATAACAAAATTTAGAGCACAGTGTCTGGGAATTATTGAAAGTGGAAGGCCGAAAGTTATTAAATCGAAATTGATAAGCACCTATGAATTTCTGTATTCTCCCTATCTTAAGTGGGAGCTGCGCTGTCACATTTTTGAGAATATCAAACAATCTGGCAATGTGAACACTCTTAGCCAGGAAAACATTGGAGTGCTATTATAAGGGTCTTACACCGGTTGTCGGTACATACCGGAATATCTAGCTCTCGGGTAACAGTTTACGGCAGAAACGAAGCTTTTCGCTAAACAGTTACCCGAGAGCTAGATTTCCCCGTTTGTTTGTTTTATTTTTCTTGCATATTATATATTTATAATATTTCAGAACAAAATAAGAAAACTGATATTTTTCATTTAAAATATGTGTCTTATAGTAACTTATGATTTTTCAACTTTATAACCAGTAGATAATCCAATTTGATATGTAAGGAAAAGATATCTTCAATACAGAAATACAGGAAGTGTACAGAGGAGGCCGATGTGTACATGAGACTGAATGTCGACGTCATTATTTTGTAATCTGATAACACCGTGTGGAGAGTCGGTATAAAATTGTATCTCTGAAAATTTTCTTCATGTATTGTATGAACATTATATATTTATACCTAGTATTGTTTCATCCATGTTATTCAAATAAATTGTTGAAATGGGCTCTCGTACGCATATTCATATTTAAAGTAATCAATACACAGGAAAAAACACACTAGATATATATATTATAAACCGTGAAGTAAAGACAAGCACATCAAGTTGATGGCTTAATCGTAAAATTTAATATAAGGTTAAAGTGTTTTAAATCATTCTGTAAAAAACGTGATGCACGTATAGTTAAATTTGTGTGGTCTGTTTATATCTCATGAACAACAGTTGCTTTCCGTAATTTTGACATCACCTATCACCTAGTACATGAATTATGATAATAAAATTGATTAGGTATTTATAATTTTCAACGTTTTTTTAAAAGAACAGGTGCATCAATAAATATCATCATTAAATGGCGTGGGTACTTTTTTGTATTTTCTGCGGTATAATTCTTTATTTATATATCTGCAATATTTTTACTCCAGTTCAAACAAGCGTCGGTTAATAAACTCGTTACAAATGTCAAAACAAAATGAATCGTAAATAGCAAGCAAACAAATACATTGTATTTTGAAAAGAGTTTCAACATTTTAGAAATAAGTTCACAGATGTGATACTACTCACAAGTGGGATACTGTATTTTCTGTCGAGAACGGTGATATTTACAAAATCGGATAAACTCCCAATGGCATAACTTGATGAACAGACTCATCTGTTGTAACGCAAAATAAATCAGATGACTGGAAACGGTCTTGTGACATTAAACATTTGGTATTGTTAAGGCTCCCTAAATGTATGCTTATATTGATGTTTCGTTTAGAGCAAATTGAGTTAAAGTAAGTCGTTTGATTATTAATGGTCAGGAAAATAAGATATGTAAACTTCTGTATAAAACAATAATGTCTTTGTCCTCTGGGAATATTGTTAATTCTAAATGAATAACATTTGTGAAAGAAACGCTTAATAATCTGTGTATTTCAGAATATTTTCATCTACAGAAAGTAAATAATATTAATCATTTTAAAAGTATTGAGAAGCTTAAACAACATGATCAATTTTGATCAAGATTGGAATAGTACTATTGATACATTTTCTAAATGCTTAATGTGTTGTACATATAAAAAATACTCACTCTTTTCAAAAATATCTATTAAATATACTAACATTTGACATAGGCAAATATTTATGTAAATTTAGAGCAATAAATCACCCATTATCAACTGAAAAATACAGTCATTGGTAATTGATCATAATAATACGCTCTGTTCCTTGTGTCTGTATCGAGCTATTGGTGATGAATTTCACTACTTATTTGAATGTACGTACTTAAATGACATTAGACGTATATATCTTCTTTCGAGTTTTTATATTCATCCCATTTTTTAAAACGTGACTGATTAATTAATATTTGTGATAAAAATCTACTAAAACTATCTTTATTTTGTAAAAAAGACATTATGTTAATATTTAGATAATACTTCTCATTCTCCGTTCCCTCTACCATTTATTACAATGTAAAATAGTATTGAATTCAGTAGTTGAAACGAACAATATTATCTCCTTATTTGTTTATATTTATCTAGTCAAAATTGTATTTTATTGTGATATTAGTTGATTTTTGACTGTTACTTTCTTTTCATTTGTTTGTTATGACCAGTTGCATATTACATGCCCTGGTTTAATAAAAACTGAAACTATGAATCAACAAGAAGGTACTTAGCCGAAAATTGACCTCTAAATAACTTCTTGATCTGACTTAACTTCTATGACATTTACGATGTAATATTGCAATTCGTAGGTGGAAAATGTATATGTTTTATAAGATCATTTAAATTTTAAACATCTTTCAATCGATTTTTTTCAAGTAAAATTATTTAAATAACTACAAGAATAAGAATCTTATATAACTAAAGGAAGGTCTCTACAAAATATGTAATGTGTTGTTTAACGTTATATGTACAAAAAGCAAAATGATTAATTGTCATCTTTTTTACAGAAATAAAGTTCAATTCCTTTATATATTCAAAATTAAATCAAAGACATCTTATTTTACTAAACGATTTTTCTTTTCAATCAGTCTACGTTACTCGAATATAATGAGAGTACTTACGGAATGGCACACTTTTGAAATCTATCCACTATGCTCAGTGCGACGAAACACCTGAAATATATAAAGATATTCAGCTCAAAAACTTTTATAACAAGGGAGATAATACCTTCTCAATATAAATTTAAAAAACATGAGATATAATATATAATTTGGTTGATGTTTACGTTTCTCCAACACAGAAGAGGTTATGATATGACTTATCAGCTTTACTGGTGGAGGAAGACCAAAGGTTCGTGCAGTATTTTAGGCACGAGCGGGTACCTAAGTTGAACCACATACGTTACGGAAACCAGTTTGATAGCTTCATAGACACTTGCAGGGTTCAAACTTACAGCGGTGTGAGGCAAGTGGTTTAAAGTCAACGACCTTAACCACTCGGCCACGGACTCCACTACTATAATACAGAGATGATCATTGGTTTGAGAAAAATAATACAGTTTGAACCCTGAAATGTCGGAAATTATTTTCAATTTTGCCGTTTTGACTTTCTTTAGGGATTCTATTTCTTTCTATTTTTGCTTTACATTATGATACTAAAACTTATATACATACGTTTTGATTGTGATATTTAGCTAAATAGTTATGAATGTTTACGATACATGAAATAAATAAACTGAGACATTAAAGAATTCGAATTAATAAACAAAAGATAAATCCTAAATATTTAAAATCAAAGCTGTGAACTATAAGGAAAATTATTTAAATTGCCAGATAATGTCTTACTAACATTTTGTTTGTTGTTTAAAGAGGAAGTGACAGTGTTTTATACAAAAGAGCACATGCTAACTCACTGATGACCGGCTATTGCACCGTTACCTTATAATGAAATAATTGTAAAAAATAATTATAATATTTTATTTCTAGATAAAAAGCCCACTTTATTTTATTTGCGAACACTAACACATAATATAATTATGAAAAGAAACTAAGGAAATTCTTTAACATCTGGGGGTTTATGTTTTGTCTACTTTTTGCTATTTCACCTGATATGAGATGCTCTTGTTCTCTTACATAATCCTAGGAAAATCTGATTTCCATTCCCGTGGGCATTTAATGCAATCTTAAAGCTACATTTAGGTAACGACATTAACATTATCAGATTATAACTCTCAAAAGAGCACATGAAATTAAATTATGTGAATTTAAGACAAAGTATTTACAATTGGAATTTAAACTAGTACAACTATTTGTATGCGGAACATATTACAAAGTCACATTAACTGCACATATATTTATACATTTAAAAGATTGAATAAATCCAAAATTAAATAATATAGCATAAATTCGTAGGAAGCACGACATTCAAAGACATGTTTTCGTTTTATAGTTTTAAATTTTGTTTGAACAGACACCAACGAATAACAGGTTCTTAAAAATGATATATAACTTAACCGAGTCAAAAAACAACAACAACAACATAAAACAATCTTTTGTTGTGACTATATTAAAGAAAGAAAGCCAGTGAATTACACTGTAAGGCAACCTGTACATTTTCGTGATTAATGCTTTAAGCATACGGTCAAACTCACAGTGACGGGGTTGTGGCCTAGTAATAACGGTGTCGTGTCTACCTCTCAATCAAGGGAACGTTGGCTCGAGCCGTGCCAAGGTCACAACTACGTCACCATATAGGACGCCAGGACTGTTGGTTCCAAATGTTTCAGGAAACAGACTCGATGGTGATTTAACTAAGCCTGAAGTTCTCTTTACAATCGAACTTAATTATAGAAAGTTTAAATCAAACATATATTACTACTTTTCAAATGTTTTAACTTAAAACATCTGTCTTAGTATTCCAATATTTTATTACTTAAAATCAATATTCATAGTTTTCTTTAATATCTGATGATATTTGTCATATAAAATGAAAACGTAGTACAAACAATTGTGATCAAGTTAGAAAACATGTTCATGTTTATTTTTTATTTTGAGTTGAACATTTTATTCAGTGTGAAACCTTTGCATCAACATCTATGACACTTATTGATTTCTTTTTTTTGCTCTTACACATAAAAGAAAATACTTATTTCTTGTCCCGCAAAATTATAACTATTATAGTATTTTTATTTTACCAGTTTTATGATTTCTTAAACCAGAAACGTTTTATGAATTCAGCATTGAAATAAAATGGTTTGCAGAATGTCCAAAAAATATTTATAGTTAAAAGTATTTGTCAATAACAGCCTGAACAAGCAAAGATAATTGAAATGTGCTTTCGGTAGCTAACTTCTTTGGATATTTTTTCTGACTAAATATGAAATATCATGAATGTATTTGATCGATAGCAAGACGACATTTGTGAAGAATTATTCAATGACAAAATGGTAATGAATGAATTGTACACAAATGAGATGTAATGTTGATGTCATTGATATAAGGAGAGACGTTTTGATAAAGTTACAAACCATGCTTGTAATAAAATTTTCTGAAACATTCGTCAGACTACCTAATTTCATTGTTATAATGACCGTAGTTCAGTATTTTGTCTTAGAAAGATCTTCCACGCTCTGTAAATATATTTAAAATATATAAAGTATATTTTCAGACAGCACTTTAAAAAATAACAATAGCAACAACCCCAACCACTAAATTAAAAAAAAAAACCCAAAAGCATCATTAAAAACCCTTTCCAGACATCCTTGAATCATACACCACAAATATCACAATCGGATAAAGGGAAAACTGTTTAGCATATATAGCAATACTTCTTAAAGTGTGAAATTTTAATATGGAAAAAGATATAAATCGATATTTCAAAAGGCAAATTTAGCGAAACCGTGGAATTTGTAAATGAATATATTTGTCTGTCCGCATACAATTAAACACATAAAAAGGCGTTTGAAGAACCCGCAAGAGTAAATCAAGTAATACTTGTCTTTATTTACTTTTTTCCAATTTATTTCAACCATTATATATTTTAGAGTTAGAAATAACATTTGAGATTAAAGGCGGTTAAATTTCTATCCAACTTAAATACATTTTTATTTTTAAAACTGTAATTTCACTGAAACTATAGCTGTTGTGCATCAAACCATAATAAACAGTTCGCGTGTAGTCTATTTTATCTTACCAGTTATTTAACTAAGGCCATTTTCAATATAAATATGATGGTTTAAGAAATACATTATTTTACTTTAACGACTTTAAATCTAGGAAAGATACTGACATTGGCTTGATTAAACATTCAATATTCTGGTTTGACTTTCCTTCTCTTTGCTAAATTACCAACTTCTGACAAAACGAAGTTGAAAATAAAAACACGCAGGTTCTTGAAAATTTATGGGGCAGTAAAATGAAACTAAATCCGGGACCAGAAAATGTGAAACTTGAACAGTCAACCTTAACTATACCAAACAGTTTAAATTTAAGCTATGACAAAATACATTGAATTCTTTATATTGTATTTTTATATCTGTTCAAGGAAAACTTCAAAATATAATATGAAATCACTATATATCTTACCTTACTTGTTTACAGCAAAATCCTTAATTTTCTCCTGACTTGTATCCATGCAAATAGTTTAATCAACAAGCAAGTAAAGAATATCTGATAAAATTTTTGCCACGAGTCCATTGATGTTTCCAGTTAATCAATTAAATCCAAAACAATAATAACTAAATAAAGGATAGTGTTACTACAATATTTCATGTTCTATCTGTTATTACTGAATGTTGTTATCATTTACATTTCGTTCATATAGTTAATAAAGACATTTACGATATTTTCATTATACTCTTACACTAGAAGGAGCAATAAATGACGATGCTACAAAATGATATTTCCGAGAAAATGTCCGGCACTTTCATAAATCTTCATATATAGAGAGCGTGGACGAGATCTATTGATATCTGAATGTCAAATGGGGAAATTGGGAAAACGAAGCGATACATAGTGATGTCGGAGAGATTCTATTATGAGATTACACTTATAAGATTCGCCATTTTTATTACATTAATAACATACGAAATAATGAGAATATATATAAAAATGGCCTTGTGAATGACCTGACACATTAAACGCTATGCGCCTCTGTCAACAATTTACACAATGGTCAGTAAGTTTTATATCAAGCCTTAATAAAATTACAGTTTAAGACTGAATTTGTTATATACTAAATTATTGACAGCATCGAGTTAATTTATAAAAAAAAACTCGGTTATTTTCGAATTTGTCAACAAAAATAATCTTCATATATTATCAGCCGGGGAGCAATAATTTGCACTGTTCTTATTCTTTTTCTAAACGCTTTAGTTCTTGATTCAAGCTTTAAAAAATCTGTTTGCAAATATTCTTAACATTGATTCATTATGGAAGAAGATATTTGATTAGGAAGCCTGAGCTAATATATTTCAATGATCGCCTTTGTAACTTTTAAACAGTCAATATTTACCCTATCAACTGTTTAAATATTTCATTTTAAAAACCTAATATCATTATATCTGATCGAAGCAAAAAAGACATTTCAAGAAAATGAACGTTTTACGAACACTAGCTCATGTAAATATGAAGTTGTCAATTCGGTTCCAAAATGATATTATATAAATTTAAACAGTGCCTGTAAGTTTCTCGTATAATCCTTGCATATCAGGCAGGAATATGTATTGTTTATACCGGTGCTAGAAAAACCTGTCTTACACCCCGTGTAAGACAGATCGCGTGCTTTAATTGAGCCATTCTCGTGAGTCTTTTATAAATAAATTGCTTTCATAGGATGACGTTCTTTTTTTCCAGAAGTTGTAAATTCTTACGATACTATGAGAAATAAGTGCTGCATGAAAATATTGATTGTCGTTATTTCTTTTACGTAATATTATAAATATTTTAATTTGCAAGAAAAAGAATCAAACACCGGCAGAGCCTCGTTACCACCGCAAACACCCTCGAGCTAAATATTCCGGTCTGTGTAAGATCCTGTAAGTTTCTCATATATTTTTTGCATATTAAACAGGAATATGTACTGTTAATACATGTACCGGTACTAGAAAAGCCCGTCTTAAACCCCCGTGTAAGACCGATCGCGTGCTTTTAATGACGTCATTCCCGCGAGCCTT